CAAAGTTACCCCCCTTACATCAGGGTCCCCGGAGCCCCCCTTACATCATGGTCTCAAGAGCCCACTCACTTTCATTAGGGTCTCCAAAGTCTTCTCCTTACATAAGGGTCTCTAGAACCCCCCATACATCATGATCCCCTAAACCTCCTTACATCAGGGTCCCCAGAGCCCCCCCTTACATCAGGATCCCCAGAGACCCCCTTAATCATGGTTCCAAGAGCCCCTTTACATCAGGCTTCCCAGAGCCCCCCTTACATCAGTGTCCACAGAGCCCACCCACTTTCATTAGGGTCCCTAAAGTTACCCCCTTACATCAAGGTCCCCAGAGCCCCCCTTACATCATGGTCCCCAGAGCCCTCTTACATCAGAGTTCCCAGAGCTCTCTTACATCAGGGTTCCCAGAGTCATCTTACATTACAGTCCCCAGAGCCCTCCTACATCAGGGTCCCTAGAGCCCATTCCCTTTCAGTAGGGCCCCCATAGTTAGAAGGTAAGTGCTTACATTATTGTTATTTTATTACTTTTTTAGGTTTCGGGGTTAAGGTTATGGGTTAATTATTATTAATATACTAATTTACTATTACAAGTATTTATGATTATTTTCATTTATTTGTGTATTTATTTTACATTTATTTATTAATTTTATTATTATTACCCTAACAAAAAAATAAATGAATATATAATGAGAAAATAATAAGTAAAATACTTGTAAAAACCCGCAAGAAAAGGGCAAGATCAAACACGCCAAAAGAGCTGAAAAAAGCTACGCTCAGATGTGAATGGAGCCTCAGAGGAAGGCTGCAGCAGTTCTGATGATTTAGTTGTGAGGCCTGCACCCGCCTCTCTCTGCCATTGGAGGCTGGATAAAGTCTTCCACCAATGCCAGGTGCTATACCCAGGGAGCATTCCGTTAACCGGCACAGCACTGCCACTCTCCCTATCATACTGGGGCAGTACCCAATGCAGGCCACACCCACAATGTGTGGAATGGACAAGCCTGGCTACGCAGGAAGCCGGATTTCTCTGTGCTGCGGTCATGTAATACTTACAGGTCTTGTCTCTCCCCCAGCCCATGACTGGACAGTGAAAAGAAAAGCAGCAGCCTTATGAGCTCATCTCATCTATCTCTTAGCCCTCTCCTTCTATCAGCATGTTCCTTGTCAGCACATGAGCACTGCAGCATAAGTGATGGGCAGCTAGTGCACCATCTCCTTGTCCTCCCGATATGAGCTGTGCTGTATAGGGACCTAAAGTATGACTAAACCCACAACAGTAACATCAGTCTGTATATGCAGTACAGCATGCTTGTTATACGCACTGTGGAACCTAAGGGGTTAATCCTCTGCATTGTGTAAAAAGGATGTTTGATCCTGACATCTCTGATGCTCCCCTTTTTCTACTCAGGTTAACCCTGAGGAAGTCACGTGCTACCGTGACGCAACGCGTCGGTACGCAAGGAGGATTCTGGGAGCGCGGTGACGTCATTTCCGGCGTGGCGGCCATATTTGAAATCCCTGTATTAAAATACCCATGCAGGAGATTTATAGCATGGGGTATTGAAGGCTGTGAGAAGACGAATTTAAATTCTCTTTTGTTTATTCATGAACCGAGGAGCTGACCGCAGATAGAGTATTAGAGGCGAGGCCCTGGTGAGCTATCAAAAGAAGTGCCCTGTTTAAAGCAAGCTGACCCTGTGGGGTCGGGGTAAGGAGGTGAGAGGCCATCACGGGTAAAGTTTGGAGCTACACAGTGTGTTCACGTGTGACACATGCATGAAGATTTAAAAAGAAAAATAGTTTTTTTCTGCATTTGGACAATTTATTTATTTATTTATTTTCTGTGGATTTATGTATCAACAGATGGTTGGAGTGATTAATAGTAGCACTAATTTGCACTTTATATGAATTGCAATACACGTTTTGCACTTTTGTATGCACTATTTTGTACATTTATTTAGTACCTTGTGGTATTATTTTTTGGAGCACTTGTATAATTAGTGTTGCACTTTATATTTATAAATTATTTAGTTTATTTAGAGATAGCGCTGCACTTTATATATATATATACCCCTTTTTCTACTGTCCCCAATCCATCTGCTGATATAACAGAGCCTTGGGAGCAAGCTGCACATGCTCAGTTTGGTGTGTATTGTCAGAGTGTTTTATTTTTTTATTTGGGAGAGTGCATGTGATCAGCACAGGGCCAATCAGCACTGTCCAGACAGAGGCTCAGGGGCCCTGCAGCCTCATAGGACAATCAGGGCATAATAATGAAGACTCCTACAAGCTTTAACCAGTGCTCTGCTGGACACTGATAGAAAGAGACCAAATATAGTGAATGCAGGGTCCGGGGAGAGCGGATATAGTGAATGCATGGTCCGGGGAGAGCGGATATCATGAATGCATGGTCCGGGGGGAGACCAGATATAGTGAATGGAGGGTCCGGGGAGAGCAGATATAGTAAATGGAGGGTCCGGGGAGAGCAGATAAAGTGAATGCGGGGTTCGGGGAGAGCAGGTATAGTGAATGCAGGGTCCGGGGAGACCGGATATAGTGAATGTAGGGTCCGGGGAGAGCAGATATAGTGAATGCAGGGTCCGGGGAGATCAGATATAGTGAATGCAGGGTCCAGGGAGACCAGATATAGTGAATGCAGGGTCCTGGGAGAGTAGATATAGTGAATGCAGGGTCAGGGGAGAGTAGATATAGTGAATGCAGGGTCAGGGGAGAGTAGATATAGTGAATGCAGGGTCCGGGGAGACCAGATATAGTGAATGCGGGCTCCGGGGAGAGCGGATATAGTGAATGCGGGCTCCAGGGAGAGCGGATATAGTGAATGCATGGTCCGGGGAGAGCGGATATAGTGAATGCAGGGTCCGGGGGGAGACCAGATATAGTGAATGCAGGGTCCGGGGAGACCAGATATAGTGAATGCGGGCTCCGGGGAGAGCGGATATAGTGAATGCGGGCTCCGGGGAGAGCGGATATAGTGAATGCATGGTCCGGGGAGAGCGGATATAGTGAATGCAGGGTCCGGGGAGAGCGGATATAGTGAATGCAGGGTCGGGGGAGACCGGATATAGTGAATGCAGGGTCCGGGGAGACCAGATATAACGAATGCAGGGTCCGGGGAGAGCGGACATACTGAATGCAGGGTCCGGGGAGACCAGATATAGTGAATGCAGGGTCTGGGGAGACCAGATATAGTGAATGCAGGGTCAGGGGAGAGTAGATATAGTGAATGCAGGGTCAGGGGAGAGTAGATATAGTGAATGCAGGGTCCTGGGAGAGTAGATATAGTGAATGCAGGGTCAGGGGAGAGTAGATATAGTGAATGCAGGGTCAGGGGAGAGTAGATATAGTGAATGCAGGGTCCGGGGAGACCGGATATAGTGAATGCGGGCTCCGGGGAGACCGGATATAGTGAATGCGGGCTCCGGGGAGAGCGGATATGGTGAATGCATGGTCCGGGGAGAGCGGATATAGTGAATGCAGGGTCCGGGGAGAGCGGATATAGTGAATGCAGGGTCCGGGGAGAGCGGATATAGTGAATGCAGGGTCCGGGGAGAGCGGATATAGTGAATGCAGGGTCCGGGGAGAGCGGATATAGTGAATGCAGGGTCCGGGGAGAGCGGATATAGTGAATGCAGGGTCCGGGGAGAGCGGACATAGTGAATGCAGGGTCCGGGGAGAGCGGACATAGTGAATGCAGGGTCCGGGGAGAGCGGACATAGTGAATGCAGGGTCCGGGGAGACCAGATATAGTGAATGCAGGGTCCGGGGAGACCAGATATAGTGAATGCAGGGTCGGGGGAGACCGGATATAGTGCATGCAGGGTCCGGGGAGACCAGATATAGTGAATGCAGGGTCCGGGGAGAGCGGACATAGTGAATGCAGGGTCCGGGGAGACCAGATATAGTGAATGCAGGGTCCGGGGAGACCAGATATAGTGAATGCAGGGTCCGGGGAGACCGGATATAGTGAATGCAGGGTCCGGGGAGACCGGATATAGTGAATGCAGGGTCCGGGGAGAGCGGATATAGTGAATGCAGGGTCCGGGGAGAGCAGATATAGTGAATGCAGGGTCCGGGGAGAGCGGACATAGTGAATGCAGGGTCCGGGGAGAGCGGACATAGTGAATGCAGGGTCCGGGGAGAGCAGATATAGTGAATGCAGGGTCCGGGGAGACCAGATATAGTGAATGCAGGGTCCGGGGAGAGCAGATATAGTGAATGCAGGGTCCGGGGAGAGCGGACATAGTGAATGCAGGGTCCGGGGAGACCAGATATAGTGAATGCAGGGTCCGGGGTTTGGTAACATTTTAACTCCTCCTATGTGTTGTTACTGGCTGATGCCACTTTCCTACACGAGGTTTTGTTTGCCGCTTTTGCCTCTAGTATTAGACAGTTAAGAATAATTACAACCCACTTCACAAGTGTTTTACTTTTTCTGTGCTTTTAACTGCAGCAGATAAGCTGTCTTTATTGAGGGTACATTTGGACACTTATGGACCGCAATGTGAGAAAAAAAAAAAAAAAAAATCACACACAGCAAAGGAAACATCTACAAGTACAAAAACAGCCTGGAAAAGCCAATAAGTGAGGCAACAACACCACAATGTATTCATTATTTTTTTTGTAATGAGAGGAAATTGAAACATCCCGTAGACTTTCTAGTTTTACCCCCCGCGACATTGCTTTTTTCTTTCTGTTAACAGGCATTTTTTTCTCGGGTTTTATCTCCTTATGTTTCTTTTTGACATTTCGACATTTTTTTTCCTCCGAAAAACCATGTTCGGAATATTCCACGCGTACACATCTTATTGTCTTCTCATTCCTGGATTCCTTCACTTCATCTTGATAATTTTTCCTCTTGATGTCTGGGGTTCTCTTCTCTTCTTTATTGTCTTCACATTCTTCCCTGATACTTTCACAGTTTCCTCCTTTGTGTCCTTCTTCAGAGATTCATTTCTTAGCAAGTCTACTGGCCCCCAGACAAACCTGCTGGGCTGGTCGTAGTGTTTCCAGGCAAAGCGCACCAAATCTCGACGTTTTCTTTTGTCCTTCACGGAGAACATGAAATAATCGAATACGCTCCTTTTTACGTTCTCTAATTGGCCGTGAACACAGGGTTTCCTTCAAGAAAAACTGGACCAGAGGAGCTTGGAAGTGCTCAAACCCCAGTTCCCCCAAACACTTCAAAATTCGGGTGATCCACAGATTATTATAAGTGTGACTGTGAATATAAAAACAAAAGCAGAAAACAAATATATAAAATATGTTATATGCTTACCCCTTGAAGAATCCCATAAGAGATATGCATGTCATGAAATACAAGCTGAAAAGCACACATCTATGCACTTGGGTGTCTAGACCTCTGTTGCAGCCAGTGTTCCACCAAGTACAGTGATGCACGGCATGTTCCAGCGATCACTATTGATCACCTTCGCAGTACATTAAAAAGCATAAAGGCAATGCTCATCATCAAAGCAGAGAGGGCTGGCTTTAAAGTAGTTGAAAACCCTTACATATACCCGTACAGTGACTTGCCTCAGGTGATACACAGAGTTGAAACAAATCATCCTCATAAGTTGTACCCGTTTATCTACAGCCACCTGCCCCTACATTCATTCAAAGTGCAGAATTCACACAGGATCTCTCTGCTCTGAAAAGCAGGGGGCAGGGAGCTGAAGGTACACCAAGTGAAGAGAGCTGATTGGAGGGAAGAAAAACACCCCCCCTTTCATACAGCACACAGAAACAGAGCTGAGGCTGACAATCACAGGCTGTGTGTTGGATCTCTCTCCTCTGTCTCCTTTTTTTCTCTTGGTGTCAGGAAAATGCATCAGAAATGTTAATAGCAGAGGAACAAGGCAGAGGACAGAAATGACTGTGACGAACCGTCCTTTTTTTTTTTCCATAACATTTTGCCCTCTCTGTTCTGGTGTATCCCACAGTCCAGTGGTCATAGACATTCTACAATTTGTTTAGGGAAATGTGACCTTGTAGTCTTTCACTTCTATTAGAGTTCCTATTGTATTGTTTGATTGTAGGGTTTTTGTGGGTGGGGAAAACCTGAATTCTGTCTGTGGGGGGGTGGAGGTGAAACACTGAGGCTGTGTTTAATAAAGAGACATTCATTTTCACCCTACAAAAGTTCCGACTCGTGTTTGGGGAGAGCAGTGAAGGGATGTATTTTTAGATAGCCTTGGCAGAGTGCTGGAAGGAGGAAAAGGGGACCATTGGGTGAGACGTATAAGCTCCGCACGAGAAGCCCAGGCAGAACGGTTGGCCATCAATGACACTTAGTGCTTTGTAAAGACAAGAACACACTATAGAGGCATATCCATTGCAGCTCACAAGTCCAGTGGTTCATCACTTCAATGTAGGAAAATTGTTTATGATATGATTTGCATGCCCACTTAATTCTCCTGAATTCTCCTGTAAACACAGGCTGAGAAAGGAAAAGCTACAGTCACAGAAACCAATCAGGTGTGATTCAGGTGCACATGTACTGATAGGGAATAGGAGGAGAAGAAGGGGAGAGAAGAATAAGCGGAGAGTATGAGATAATAGAAATGGTGATCAAGCTGGATTTGCTTTGTAAACCACAGAACTTGATGGATGACAAGCAAAGCAAAGCACTAAGCCGACGGTTGGTTCACACTGGGTGCGAATTGGCATGCGATTTGCATGCCCTGCAACTTGCAAAATCCCATGCCAAGTCGCACCCTATTGTCCGCAATTGGAGCGGTCATATCGGTACGGTTCTGACTTGGTCGGAATCCGCAACGATTTCAAAAGTAGTACAAGCACTCAGGGGTGTCCCTAGGGTTGGTGTCACCCGGACCCGGTAACACTTGGTGACATCCCCTACGATCCTCGCAGAATGGATCAGATCCCCGGAAGAAGGGATCGGATCCATCCTGCGGGGATCTTTGGCTTGCTTTATATACCTTACCTTTTCATGGAGCGGGTCCAGTGTCACCCCGTATAGTTGCGCATGCCGACGATCCCCACAGGATGGATCGGATCTGCGGATTGGGAAGCATATTGGATCGGACACCGGACACCTGCCACGGGACGCCACTGCATGCACTACTTTTGGTGCGATTTGCATAGACATCTGTATCAGATGTCTTGCAAATCGCACCTGAAAACAGCGGGTCCCCCGACTTTGAAATAGTGCAACTTCACTGTAAGTCTCACGATTTCAAAGTCAGGCTTGATGTGAATGGAGGGTTATATGTATTTCCCACTGTCTGAGTTTAAGCCCGGGTTCACACAGGTGTGACATGCAATTTACAAATCGCAACTGAAGTTGCATCTAATGTATTTCTATAGCCCTGTCTTAATCAGTGCGATTTGAAGTAGCGCAATTTCAAAAATAGTTCCTGCGCTACTCTTTTCTGATTTCATTGCAATTTGCATTGACTTCTGTTAAATGAAGTTGCAAGCCACAGTGAAATCAGGAGGTAGAAATCGCACTGATCTGCAGCTTTGTACCCGCGCTACTTCAAGTGAAATAGCGCGATTTCAAAGTTGCATTCAGTGTGAACCAGGGCTTAATGTAAAACAGCTAACTTATGGGTAGCCTAAGTTGCTTAAATTGTTAAGGGTCAAACCCAAAAATTCTTCTCTCACTATGACCCAATGAGGTGCGAATTTCTTGGGTCCAATCTAGGGCTAGCAATCTACTACCGCTCATCGTGACGTCAAATCATCATGAAAAGTGCTCACTTGTTCAAATTTGCATATCTTTCTTTCCAATTCTCAGCTCTGCAGACTTCTCCGGTATCCTCGTTTTTTAGATGCAGGCCATAGAATCCCAGCATGAGCTTGTACGCCTCAAGGAGATTCCTCATAACTCTATCTGTCTTCATTTCCTAGGGGACCATCATTTGTTACAATGAACAGTATAAATGTCATGTTAAAAAAAAAAAGCAGAAGCAGGACCAAGAGGAACTACAGCAATCTTGGTTCTACCCCAGAACTCTCCGTGGAGTATGTCCTAGCGTTCTTTTTTTTCTTTTACCCAATCCCTGTAATGATTAACAGCTTTTCTCACTCCCTGTGACATCATTGTTGGGCTTGTAAAATTCTTGATATTATTATATATAATGGACAGCGCCACTGGATATATAAGAATACAAAAAAAAGGGGGGGGGGGGGGGTAGTAGAGAAGCCATCTAGTCCTTGGAACACTCCCTTGAGGGAAAAAACCCTCTATTCAGGCCTCCTGCACATTTATCACCTCTCCAACCACCTTCTGGTACCTTGGTACCTTGTGAACTTATGGGGGGGCTGACAACACTGCTTGGGATTTCAGTGAAGCAGAGGCAACGTTGTCAGCTCACAACATGAAGTTAGGTGCCCAGTGGGTTTCTGACTGGATCAACAGACATTTTTCTTACCTGCTGTGTTTGTACTGGGATAAAACAAAATGGGTAAATGTGCATATATGGCAAGGATGAACTGAATATTGTTTCTTACTTTGCCCAAACATACACTAAAACCCGTTGAACTAGAAGTTAAAGTGGAGCTCCTGTCTCCCCCCAAAAAAATTAAACGTCAGCAGCTACAAATACCGTAGTTGCTGAATTTTAATAAATGGACACTCCAGGGATAAAAAGACTCCACACTGTCCAGGGATCCAGCAATGTCCTCACCAGAGCTGATTCTTCAATCAGCTTTGGGTTCAGGCGCCGGCATCTTTAGTAAGGGAAACTGGCAATGAAGCCTTCTGGCTTCACAGCTTGTTTTCTGCCACGCTGCTCTTTGTGAATGGTCCTGCAGTCTTCTGGGACCTGTGATGTGTCTAAGAACGGAGGGGAAGAGGAGGGGCCGAATGCAGGGATCTGTCCAGAAGTGGCAGCGGGTACCTATCAAAACCAAGTACCTGCTCCCCCCTCCACCCCAAATGTGGCAGTGGAGGGGAGGACGAAATAAGCAGAACTTCCCCTTTTGGGTAAAGTTCCACTTAAATACAATTGCCTAGAGGTGCCTGAGAGTACTTTTATTCATTTTTCAGGAAACACAGAAACCCATAAAAGTCTGCTGGCAAATCTATAATCAGAGTTCGAGCCCCATTTGCCCACATCCTTAGTTTTGGCCCCTCTGTGTGATTTTTGGCCTCACTGATCAAAAAGATGTTGCAGTGAAGTTGATGACTGCATAGGCCAAGGCTCAATAAATCCCAGGCGCCAAGTCACAATGGCAGCAAGAAATTGCGTCCTGGCGCCTGGATTCACACACTGCCTCCCACTGACTTCAATGCAAAATCACGTTCTATTGACTTCAATGCAAAAACGCCTCCCATTGACTTCAATGCAAAAACGCCTCCCATTGACTTCAATGCAAAAACGCCTCCCATTGACTTCAATGCAAAAACGCCTCCCATTGACTTCAATGCAAAAACGCCTCCCATTGACTTCAATGCAAAAACTCCTGTCAATAGCAATCCTATGTGAACCCTTATCTACGCATGTTACTTTACTATATCACTTGTGAGTCTGGAACGCACCGCTACAAACTCGCACAGGACCCTTTTCGTAATGGCACTCAAAACACATGATGCGTGTGGATCGCATCTGCGTGAACTACCTGAATAGGGGCACATAATATCTAGCCTGTCATGCGAATCTGTGAGTTTGAAAATGCTGCCAGATTCGCAGGGTGGCTCCATTCACACCTGGGTATTATGGGATTGTAGCAGAATCACTGTGATCGCAAAACACAGGCTCATGTGCCATTATTTTCAAACGTGGTGTGCTTTTGCCATGATTGTCACGCAGCAAATCGCATTGTGTGAAGCTTGTTGCCCAATAGTTGTCGTGCCCCGGGACCTGACAACCCACACTACGCTAAAGAAAACACTGTCCGTAACATTTTTAGCTGGCTCTTGGATTCAAAGCAAATCTGTCAAGCCCCAACATAGGATATTATATTACAGGTACAAATATAGCCAATATTCCAGCAAAATAAGCAGTGAATACATTCAAGTTATCTCACTTCTCTGCTAAAGACAGTTAGGTAGAGTTCCTCTTTAATTCATGGGTTTTCTAATACCTCAATCTCCTTTTTGTGTAGAGGAGTGGCATGTTGATTAAGACCACATTCTCGAAGTGGAAAGAGCCTGAAACACAGAGTGACGTGTTAGAGGTTAAATCAGATCTCTAGAAAAACTTAATTTAATTTTTTTTAAATTCCCAAGTAAAGTGAGGACAGATTAGAGCTACTCTGAGATTTTGATTGCTTTCTGCGTCCCCACTAGGAAAGTTTACCATCACTTCCTGTGGTGTCATCCGGACAGGAAGTGGTGGCAAATCTTCCCAAGGGGAAGATTCTCAGACCCAGAAAAATAAAAGAGTTTGAATTCCATGAAGATTAGATAGGGATAGATCAGAAACGTTTGGGCACTTACCATTGGATGTAGTTATGGTTGTGCTCTAGCTTATCATAATTATCTTTCCATTCAGCAAGCAGAACTTCAATGAAACAACCTGAGAATGATACAGAAGTAGCCTATTACTTCCATTCCAATTAAATAACATCATTTATAGGGCCTTTTGGTGGTGGAGCATGCGGGCCACAATGTTCTAACAGAGAGATCCTTCTGCCACAGTTCTCTGTGTCTGAGTTTTATAAGTCAGATGGCCAATAATGTTCTAATATTTTGATCTGTATTTCTAGAGCAGGGGTCGGCAACCCATGTGGCTTCGGAGCCGCATGTGGCTCCGTCATCACTCTGCTGTGGCTCCCTGTTGCTGCAGATATACGTCGTCACACCCGCCAATGTGCGACACCCTGCCGGACCTCCGGCCGGACACCTCCCCGGACACCCTGCCGGACACCCCCCCGTTGGGACAATCCTGAGTGAAGGTGAAGATGACGTCTTACAGCCCTGATGTGCAGAAGCTATGCGCTGAGGTTCAGGAGCAAAAAAATCACATTAACCAGGTAAAATAAATACTATAATTAGCTATTATTTTGCAAACATATATTTTACATCGTTCAGTGAAATTGTCCTTTTTTTATTCAGGTTTACAGCTGATTGCAGTACCAGCGGAATGGGGAGGTTGTTGGCAATACCTCTTTAATGTCTTGGTGTAAAGGTGGAATTATCTTTCAAGGCCTGGTTCACCCAGGTTTCAGCTTTTATACAGTAAGATCGGTGTATATAGCAAGCTATTGGAAAGCATTTATGAAAGTTAAAACCACATATCAAAACAAATCAGTAGATCCACAAATCACCGCAGAAATGGTATCCAAAGTATGACTTCTAAATAAAGTTGAGTTTGGTTCCACCCGAACTCCTACGTTTCCCTACTGGAAGTTTACAGTGATAGGTAGTGTTTTGGAAGTGTCCTGGGTGGGGCCAAATTTATTTTTTCAGTAAAAGTTGACTTGCATACAGGAGCGGACTGGCCATTTGGAAACTCGGGCACTGCCCGAGGGCCCGGGGTCAGTAGGGGGCCCCATGAGATGCCCCTGGTACCTTTTTCATAGGCTTTTTTGAGTTTGGGCAAGGACACAGGGGCCCCATGATCCCCTATTGCCCGGGGGCCCCATAAGTTGTCAGTCCGCCCCTGCTTGCATATCATTTATAGCTTGCTATATTTAAGGAACTATTTGTCCTATACCAAAATGTAAAATGTTATTTTGTTAGTGTACTGTCTATCAGATTACTGTGTTGAGTGGAGAACCATCTATTGGGTGTTCACTGCAATTACACTCTTTTTTTATTCCTTCTTAAACAAGTAGTGCTTAATATTTGCTAACAAAGTTTTACCCACAAACCACTGCAGTGCCATTTTAACTTCCAGAAGAACACATCAGTGAAGCTCTCTTCTTTTTCCCTTTGATACACATATGCTTTAAGTCTATTCATTGCTAAAGTTATGATATATCTAGATTGCACTGGCATGTATTTAATGTGGTTGTATTTGAAGGAAGGCTGTCTGCAAAGAAATGTGTTTAATGTATGCATTTGTAAGAGACATGTGTAACACAACGCTGCTTCTGTCACTTTTGTTAGCTAGCTGTCGGCCAGCTGTTAGTAGTAGGATAGCATAGTTAGAAAACAAATCCCTTTCATATTGATACTTACCATTTGGTTTGAACTCTATCTTATTTGTGTAAAACTGTAGATTGGGCATTTCTTCCTACAAGAAAAAAAGAAGGCCAAAGGGGTTATTTAAAGTGGTGCAACGCTTTAAATTTCCTAGCTAATGTATAGTAAAAGCAATCTAGTAATTACATTGGTATTTATGGATTGTCCAATAGAACACATTAAGATTATATACAATCTTGATTGTATATTGGTGTTGAGTCTTAAGCAGGTTTTTATTGTTTTTTGGTGCTCATATTACATAAGATACCAGTGACGCCTCCAATTTTTTCTTTTTTTTTGCTGAATGGGACATGGAGGATTTTAATTTTGAGTACATTATGAAAGCAATGTTTGGGTGTCTTCATATTTGGGGAAAAACGCATTCCCCAAATTCGCAACGCAATTCGGAGACGAATGCATCCCTCTGGATCAACCTCTCTCAACCAGGGTTCTATGGAACCCGGGGTTCCTCCAGAGGTTGCTGGAGCAATAAACTACTTCAGCCTCGCAGATAAGTAACCACTGACACAAATTATATTTTTTGTTTCCAATCATTTTTATTAGTTATATTCCAAGAGAGATAGAAAGAAATACATACTGTATTTAAACAGAGCTACAAATCTCTGTTGGTTGAACTGGATGGACTTGTGTCTTTTTTCAACCAGATTACCTGTGAACCTACAGTATGTAACTATGAATTATATTCTATTGAACATATCAAAATGTAATGCTTTCCCCATACAAAACAAAGAAAGAAAAGAGAATAGAAGCACTTTCAGTAGCAATAAAAGGGTCTCTGGTCAAGGGTTTCACAGTTGTCACTTCAACTGAGGCCCATTGTTCTGCTGATCTTTGTAGCTATAAGAGGGGGATTCTTCCTTCTGTCCCCAAGTGTAAGGAGTAGTCTTCCTTTTTGACCATAACACTAATGTACCATGAGCTGTAGATATAGTCATTATCAACAGCAGCTGCATATTTACGGCGAGGCAAACAAGGCGTTTGCCTTGGGCAGCAATTTTCAAGGGGAGGCGGCGGCACCACATCCCTGAAGAAGGGATCTGGCGAGGCACTGCTGAGGATCCAAGGAGGGTGTGGGGGTGGCCTGCTGCTCTTTTTAACTTCCAGAGAGATAAGGTTAGTGAATTGGGAGGTAGCGGCCAGGGGGAAGGGGCTGGTTGGTTGCGGCTGTTGGTGGTGGCTTGGTTGGTTGTGGCGGTCAGTGGTGGCAGAGGGTGGGGGCGGCTATTCTGTGTTGACTAGAGCAGCACAAGAGATAAATACACTACTGATCAACAGGGGTTCCCTGAGGTCAGAAAGGTATTTCCAGGGTTCCTACATGTTAAAAAAAGATTGAGAGAGGCTGCTCTAGATGATCACAGCTTTTATCGCATACAAGATTGAGCAAGAAGCCTATTGGAGGGAGACTGGAGAGGTCTTCTTCATATAACAATACAAACACTGGTGGCCTACCTGCCCTCAGCATTTCCTTGAGAAGATTTCCCTGGAGCAACCTGAACCCATTTTGTTTAACAAAGAAGTGCATTTAAAATCAAAAGCTCGCCAACAGTTCTTGGCAAACTGGTTCCAATTTAGTGACTGAAAGTTTTGAAGCAGAGGAGTCAACGTGACAGATAGGCTATTGGAATACTCAGGCAGAGAGGTTGGCTTCAGCATGCTGCAGGTTTTTCATAACAGGTTCTCTTTAGCAATGATTTTGTTTCATAGCAAACAGACAAAGTTTTGGAGAAGCTTACTGGGTTAACGTGGTAACTGGGACTTGAATGCTGGTACCCGTGTCTGTAGTTCTGCATATCCCGTGCAGCTGAAGAATTCATATACTATAAAGAAGAGGTAAAATGGTTAAAGAGAGCTTCTGCTTTACCGATAGAATATCACTGTTATCCCGGATGATAGAGTAGAATGTGTCTAGCTTGGTGCCATGGAGATTACTCCAAAGATCTTGCTCAGAAGACTTTCACCTGGGCAATATAAAAGCCAACCATGATATTAGATATCCTTTGCCATTACAGAAAGGATGACCAGTTTACCTGAGTCAGCATGGTAATGTCTATGGACACAAAGTCCTCTTCTGCCTACTCCCCAGCCCTACTGTCCCACATTAGCCAAGACAGCAGAGATACTACCACTATCGGGCCAGGGCCAAATGCAAGGAGGACATGGGATGGAATACCACCCTACCATCACTGCTCTCTGAGCTGTCCAAGTTAAAGAACCCATAATTTGTCTTCCCCAGTTAGGGCAATAAAGTACCTCATATCTGAATTTTACGGGTTTTCCATTTTGTGGCCTTCTGGCTGCCTGTCGTGCCTAAGGTGCATAAAGACAACATATTTATTACAATTATTGCTAGAGACAATGGTGGGAAAAAGCAAGTAATCAAAAAGCTGCCCATAGAACCGACATGTCACCACAAGCAGATAAAACAAATGTCCACAACACTCACAAACTCCACAACACGACACTCAGTTTTTTACCATCTACCTAAGCTGCAGGTGTCTTTCGTGTCAACACCCTTCCCCACCTGAAAATAGAATGGAACCTACCCGTCTGAAGTTTGATTGTGGGAGAGATGGCCACCTTGATCATCTACTTGCCCCTAGTCTGTTGACAGGATAACAGAGGAGCAATGGTACATTGATGGGGTTATCCCTGTCCTCTCTCCCCTCCTGCCAGTATGTTCCCAGTGCTAGACTGACAACACTTTGGAATGCAGTATACACAATGATGGTCCTCTTTCTCTCACTGCTACACTGGGGCTTATGAGAATATAACATGAAGACACATTTCAGGCACTTTGTACTTGCAGTATTTAAAATACATTTCATAATTTAAAACCCAATTGAACCCTCACAATTTATTATTGTAATTTAGCCAGGCTGCATATGCAGTATAGTAAAAAAAAAAAAAAAATATCATCTTGTACTCTTTACTTAACTGGTAAATGTTGCATCAAGGGTTGATATACCCTGTGCTGCAGAAATCTAGAGAGCTGGACACAAAGTGGTGTCCCAGCACTTCCATGGCCAAACACAATCCCCGTCCCCACCAAAACGGTGCACCAATCACCAATGCTGGTCAGGTAGTGAGAGTGCTGTTGATTGGTGCACTGTTTGGGAATGTGGGATGAGTTTTGGTTTTAGATAGACTTGCTGAGGGCTACTAAAGACCTGTCTTGGGTGACAAGAAGCCAGACAGATGCCAACATGACTTTGACCTTGTTTGTAGACCATCCTTGCTCTGCACTGTCATCATCCTCATCTTCCTCCCAGGTTGAGTCATATGAGGTTGTATCCATTCTATCACAGCAGCCAGGGTAAATAGGCCGGTAAAC